AGGCAGAGAAAATACTAAGTACTACACCACCAAGTCATGAGAAACATTGGCACAGTTAGGAAATAACTTGGAGAAACATTCATCAAAGACTAAGGATTTGGAAAGATAAGTGATAGTATTAGGCAAGATGACTTATCATTAAAATCTGATAGTAACTAAATGAAATGTTCTTTTTTAAAGCCCTTGGAGGAAACAAACAGGCCCTGGAAGAAGCAGCAACAGTAAGTGACCTGTCCTATTTTGTGGTTAGTTCTGAAGTCTAATCTAGTCATAAAATCCAACCAGTGGTGCTTACCATGGAGGAGGTTTCATAAGGGGCCATCATCTGTTGGTATCAACTGAAAAATTAGAATTAGGTCAATTGCTAAGTATGATACATGAAGCCCAAATAGTTCTGAGCTCTATTAAGGGAGGCAGTTCTTTGCCCTGAAATTTGCAGGGAAAGTAGAAAGCCTCAAGATGAAGTTCCCTTCAGACCCTGAGTCATTATACTGTCCCCTGGCCTGCTAACTGGCAAACAGACTGTTTTGTCTTTTATACTATAGTAGTATTCTTGCTTGGGACTCTCAGTACTCCCCAACCCCTCTCACTCCCATCCTCCTAACCCCAGAACCAGTAAGATGGGGAAGTGAAGTAAAAGGTTTAGATGTACTCCACAAATATATACACCTATTACGTATTAAAATACTTTTAAAGTTTTTTAAAAATACTGGGTGCATCAACAGATGTAGAAATGGAAGAACAAAATAAAAAAAAAAGAATGGGTGCAAAAAAAATAACATCTAGGATTTGATAACACAAAAGGGTGACTATAGTCAAAATAAAGTAAAATAATTTCATAATAACTAAAAGAGTGGAATTGGAATGTTCCTAACATAAAGAAATGATAAACGCTTGAGGTAATAGATATCCCAATTAGTCTGATCATTACACGTTATACACCTGTTTGAAAATATTCCATGTACACCATAAATATATACACCTATTGTGGACTCATAATTGTTTTTTAAAAAAGTTATCTGCACTGTCCAATACAATAGCCACAAGGCACAGGTAGCTATTTTAATTAAAATTAATAATATTAAGAGTTCTTTTTTGGCTTGGTGCCCGTAGCTGGTGGGTTTGAACCCAGCCTAGGCCTGCTAAACAACAATGACATCTACAACATAAAAAATAGCTGGGCATTGTGGCAGGCACCTGTAGTCCCAAATACTTGGGAGGCTGAGGAAAGAGTATTGCTAAAGCCCAAGAGTTTGAGGTTGCAGTGAGCTGTGACACCATGGCACTACCAAGGGCGACATAGTGAGACTCTGTCTCAAAAAAACAAACTTTTTTTCTTTTTCTTTTTTTTTTTTTTTTTTTACAAAATACCTATGAATGTAAATAATTTATTTCTTCAGACATACTTAGCTAGATTTCTGATGTTCAATAGCCATATGTGACTAATGACTACCATACTAGAAACTAGAGAAATAGACCACTTCTATCCTTTCAGAAAGTTCTATTGGACATCATTGGGAACTAGTCCATAAATAGGCTTCTTGGTTCCAAGGTCCCCTAAAATCATAAGTGAACAATGTATGTGCATGCATGCATTTGTGTATCTTTCTGAAGAGAAAGTTTAGTCTTCTTCAGATTTACAAAGTAAACCCCCAAATTGGCATCTTTGTGGAGTTGATCAGATTCACGTGCAATCTCAGAGTTTGAAGGAGTCTAATAACAAGGTACATAGTTATGGTACTGACTTTAGCAGATCTCTATCAACTTCAGATTTTAAAGGTAGTGAAGAGCCAATTGTACAATTGTGAAAAATTTATAGAATTTGGAGATGAATATTGTAGGAGAGGGGTGGGGATAACTAGAGCATAAAATCAAAAGCTAGTAAAAATTGTTAGTTCCTACTTTTTCTTTGTAATATATTGCTATGACCCCCCTTTTTTTTTTTTTAGAGACAGAGCCTCAAGCTGTCACCCTGGGTAGAGTGCTGTGGTATCACAGCTCATAGCAACCTCCAACTCCTGGGCTTAAGCAATTCTCTTGCCTCAGCCTCCCAAGTTGCTGGGACTATAGGCACCTGCCACAATGCCTGGCTATTTTTTGATTGCAGCTGTCATAGTTATTTGGTAGCCCCAGGCTGGATTTGAACCTGCCAGGTGTATGTGGCTGGTACCTTAGCTGCTTGAGCCACAGGCGCTGAGCCTGCTATAACCCATTTTATTCACCCCCCATACACACCTAGCTCTAATGTCTCAAAAGAATTACCTCTGAGATGAATTATACTTAGTAGCTAATGCATCTCCCTCTTTTTAAATGAATTGAACATACAGAACTGCAAATCAGAGCTTCTAATAGGAGAAATCCAGTGCCCAGTTGGAGAGAATTCTAGCCTTAACTGATATGATTCAAACCCAGGAAAGGAATGATAAAAAATATACAAAAGCTCTTAATTGGAAAGTGTGTTGAGGACTCCCACAACAACCTCCAGGTTTGATGATTCACTAGGAGGACTCACAGTCACAATTTTGGTGATGATTTATCACAGTGAGGGGAAAGAAAGCAAAATTAGCAAAGGGAAGTACAGGGAGCAATGTCCAGAGGAAGCAAGGCATGAGCTTCTAAGAGTCCACTTCCAGTGGAGTCACACGGGACACAGTTTATTCAACATGAGTGAAATGTAGCATGAGTAAAAATATTCAGAAAAGCTGATTTGCAACTCAGTGCCCATAGTTCTTATTGGAGGCTGGTATCGTAGACATCCTATGCCCAGCACATACCAAAATTCTAGACTTCCAGAAGGAAAGCAGGTGTTCAGCATAAACCATATTGTTTGCATTAAGTTTGGGCACAGTGAGGAGTGAGTTCTCAAGGAATGGTGGGAACCCTCCTGAAATCCAAATTCCCAGATCCCAGCCAAGGCCAGCCTTGCAACCTTTCTGCATTTATCAGTCTCAGGTCTGCCATGTTAATTCTTCTGCACAGTAGATGATCAGTGGCCTGCAACCAGTGATAACTCCATAACATGCCAATTTCTAGAGGTGGCAGAAAACTGGTAAGAATGCCACTACTTGCCATTCTATCAACCACGGCAGACATCATTCATCTGTTATGGCACTATTTCTTGCTAAGTCTAAGACAGCCTCAGAATCCTTCTCTGAGTGAGTACTCTAGGTAATCCCTACCAAACCAGAGATGAAAATCCATGCCATTCCAAGTCTGTAATAATTATTTTGTTAGTACTATGAGGAAAGGATTACAAATCATGCCTGCTTTTGATAGTGCCCATAGATGTGGATTGTCATCACCATGAAAAAAATCTAATTTGAGTGATGACGAAGCCTTTTTTGAAGGATCCTGGAGCATCATAGAAAACCTTATTGAGGCTGGATACAGTGACACATGCCTGTAATTCTAGCACCCTGGGAGGCTGAGGTAGGAGGATCCCTTGAGCTCAGGAATTTAAGAGTAAAAAGTGAGATCCCATTTCTACTTAAAAAAAAAGAAGAACTAGCTGGGTGTTGTGGCAGACACCTGTAGTCCCAGTTACTCAGGAGGCTGAGGCTAGGTGATCACTTAAATCCAGGAATTTGAGGTTGGTGTGTGCTAGGCTGATGCCATGGCCCTCTAGCCTGGGCCACAGAGTAAGACTGTCTAAAAAAAACCAAAAACCTTTTTGAGATTCGGAGAGCCCATAGGACGCTGTAGACTTATTAAGAACTTGAGAAGTCTAACACAGCACCAAGTATTGTAGAGGATGTAGATCACTGGGAATTTGTATTATTTGCAGATGGAGTGTAAACAAGTGCAACCACTTTGGAAAACAATTGGGTATATCAAGGTGGTATATTTATGTAACCTACAACCATGTAATGCCCTATCCTAAGGATAGAGCCAAGAGAAAACTTGGATATGTACATCAGTGCAATGTGACACATATATAAAACAGTTCAAAGTAGCATCGTTCATTGTTTGTAATAGCATGATGGGAGAATGGACAGATCCATTGTGGTATAATCACACAGTAGGATATGAAATAGCAGTGAAAGCAAATTAACTACAACCACAAATAGTGACCCAAACAGGCAAAACCAAACATAAAGTTTTAAGCGTGCACGTATGCACATACAAGCACACACATATATGAATATACATGAACTTTCTTATTAAGCAAACGAAATGATAGTGGTTACGTCTGGGGTATGAGGATTAGGAGACTGGTTACCTTTGGGGGAAGAGATAAGGAGAGAGAACAGGGAATAAACACACAGCTAGAAGCAAGGTTTTGGCAATGTTTTACGTCTTGGGTTATGTAGTGTATTTATAGGAGTGTGCTGTATTGCATTATAACTAACATTTAATAATATTTTGTTATGTATCAAATAATAGTTTCTTAAATTACTTATCATCTTAAAATATTGTTCCTCATATTTTGGTGGCATAAGCCTGGTGTTTTCTGGCTTTTGTCACAGGCTGACCTGGATATCACTGAAATAAACAAACTAACAGCAGAAGCTATTCAGACACCCCTGAAATCTGCCAAAAGTGAGTATTTCTCAAAACCCCTTGTCGAATAGAGAGCTGAGGACCAAGGTGTGTGGTTGGCTGCACAGGTGGGACCTTGTTGATAGAGCCTCTTCCCACTAATGTCTGGTCCAAAATTGTGCTTTTAGACACTGCATTCAGTTAATTGTATGCAGGACTGATATTAACCGAACTCATAAGACCCAAGTGTGAGCTAAAGTGAAAGTGGAAAAAGAAAAAAAAAAAGCTATGGTAGAAACTAAATGTTACTGCTTTCCTTTGAGTTAAATAGAGAAATGGCCAGATTTAGAGAGGTGTTAAAAGATTGGTAATACTGACTAAGACTCTGTCTGATATAATCAGCAGGGCTGAACGAGAATCGTAAAAGGAATAACTTTCTCTGCATATAATTCCAAGTTACTCAGTTCAGTGATCAATCTGTGTGATCATCTCACATACACATCCTGTACTCTGAGAAATACTGGCTCATAGGAAGGGTTGTATGGGAAATGAAGTTGTGATGGTGAGCATGGAATCAGGTCAGGATAAATCATGACATGGATTTAATTTCACTGTCAGTAAGCTATTGTAACGTACAGGGTATCCAGCTCTTATGAGGTGGCCAGGATTTGGGGATTTTGTGCCCACCAGGGCACCTTCTGCACTGGACAGGGCCAGGAACATTCCACTTGGTCTAATTTGCTTTTTGTCAGAATTGCCTGATAGAATGAAGAAACCACGATGAGATTTTTACTTTCCTGGTGTTATATTTCAATCCTGCCTCCCCAGGGTTATGACAAAATTAGACTAGGATGTTCTAGAGTTCCTTAGCCACATATTTACAATCTATTAGGTTACTGTGGGTCATTTCTAAAGTTAGGTAGTATCAGTTTTTCCTCTGAGTTCTACCAGTTTTGCTCACTTAGGGGTAGGAGGATCTTCTGATTTTATCTCTTAGAATTGAACCCATCAGAACCCACCAATATCAACAGTTAAAGTTGATTTTGATTTTGTGCCCTGTTAACCACTGAACTTGGACTACATGTAAGCTACTTTTTTTTCTTTTTTTGTAGCGACAGAGTCTCACTCTGTCGGTAGAGTGCTGTGGCGTCACACAACTCATAGTAACCTCCAACTCCTAGGCCTAGGCAATTCTCTTGGCTCAGCCTCCCAAGTAGCTGGACTACTTTGGCCGGGGCCGGGTTTGAACCCACCACCCTTGGTATATGGGGCACCAGCCCCAGCCAAGCTGCAACAAATAAAAAATAGCTGGGTGTTGTGGTGGGCACCTGTAGTCCCAGCTACTCGGGATGCATCACCTAAGCCCAGGAGTTGGAGGTTGCTGTGAGTTGTGTGACACCATGGCACTATACCAAGGGTGATAGAGTAAGACTCTGTCTCTACAAAAAAAAAAAAAGATAAATATAATGTGTCAGAGTTGCAGCTGACGAAAAAAGCTTAAAAATTATTTAGTCCCATCTCTCCTCACATGATTAAATGTACGTGAATTTTTTTCTGGATCCCTGATAAGGCCCCTGGTTATAGATATTTAGCAGTGAGACACTCTCAACTAGAGAGCTGTGATTAGAAAGCTGTCTAGAGGCCAGGTGCAGTGGTTTACACTTGTTATCCTAGCACTCTGGGAGGCCAGAAGGGTGGATTGCTTGAGCTCACAAGTTTAAGACCAGCAAAAAAGAAAGAAAGCTGTCTAGAAAGTTCTAATTTTGAGCCGAAGTTTTCATGTGGTGTCTGTATCAATGCTAGTTCTGCTCTTTGGGGCCCCATGGAATGATCTTCTTTGTGACAATCCCTGAAATATTAAAAATTGATATTCTTTTCTCTAGAATTATTGTTAAACATACGTCATACTCCTTTTCTTCTTAAGCTGATTGTTGTAGGCAGTGCCCATAGCTCAGTGGCTAGGATGCTGGCCACATACACTGAGGCTGGTGGGTTTGAACCTGACCCAGGTCAGCTAAAACAACAATGACAACTGCAACCAAAAAGAAAAAAATAGCCGAGCATTGTGGCAGGCTCCTGTAGTCCCAGCTACTTGGGAGGCTGAGGAAGAGAGTTGCTTAAGCCCAGGAGTCTGAGATTGCTGTGAGCTGTGACACAATGACACTCTACTTAGGGCAATAGCTTGAGACTCTGTCTCAAAAAAAAAAAAAAAGATGATTGTTCTAATGATTTTATTATTTATAAATAAGTAACAATATTTAATTATAGCAAGTAGTGGGCCACCTGGGTGCAATAATGCACACCCATAATCCTAGCACCTGGAGAGGCTGAGGCAGGAGTTTAAGATCAACCTGGGAAACATAGTGAGAGCCATCTCACTATACAAAAAATAGGAAAAATTAGCTAGATGTGATGATGTACACTTATAGTCCTAGCTACATCAGAGGCTGAGGCAGTAGGATCCTTGAGCCCAGAGTTCCAAGTTACAATGAACTATGATCAGGCCACTGTACTCCAGCCTGGGCAACAGAGTGAGATCCTGTCTCAAGAAAATCTGTTCCCATCAGAAATATCACACTGTTAAAACTGTTTCTTACAGCACGTAAGGTAATGCAAGTGGATGAAATGATAGTGGAAGAGGAAGGAGAAGAAAATAAATGTAAGAATCCTCAAACCACAAGAGTAAGTAGTCACTTAGGTTGGGGGATGGGGACTAGCAGGAGGCAAGCAAATACAAAACTGCATGGAATGCAGCGTTACCCAGAGCTCACAGCTTAGTAGAGACAGTCCCACTTTAAGTGACCAGTAACAAAAGTGATCATTGACTTTCAAGGTGAGTGAAGTCCACCAGCTAGAGAAGAGAGGGAGGAGATTGTAGGAGGAGCTAGGAAAGTGTTCCTTTAAGGAGCAGAGGCAGTTTGGTATGGCCGGGATATTATCTCTGAGAGTAATACAGACAGAGCAAGGGCCAGATAATGAATGGACTGTGTGCCAACTTTGGAAGTTTCCATTCTGGCAGGTAGGTAATGGTAACTGACATCAGATTAGTATTTCAGGCTGGTCTGATGGTAGTGGGTTATCAGAACTTATTAACATTAGTGTCACTAAAGTTGGTATGCAACCCTTCACTGCTAAATTTGACTGGCTTTAAAAAAATTGGTATTTCAAAACAGTGTTCAAGGTAAATGGGAGAGGAGGAAAATGAGATGAGAAAACCAAATGGCATGTTGTTAATTCTTGAACTATGCCACTGACACTATAAAAAGAAAGATGATTTGAGATAAATTTTAGAAAGGAGAAACGGCTTGGTGAAGGAATGGAGGTGTCAGAGATGAATACATGATTTCTAGCTTAGGCAACTGCCTGGTTGGGACCCAGTTTTAGAGCAGTGCTGGGTTGGGTGAGGGCGAGCATGTATCACTGCTTGACATGTTGACTAGCTGGTACTTTTCCAGGATATCTAGGCTAGATAGAAATTCCAGCGTAGAAGATTGAGAAACATTGCCTTCTAGGTTTTTGGAAGCTTATCCTGATGTGGGAGTGGGGGCTGAGGATAGACACCAGAGGGAAAGTAGAGGGAGAAGTTCCTGAGGCAGACAGCCTCGGGCAGCCTGAGAAGTAAGAAGGATGTATAGACAGTGGAGGAGAGAATTGCCAAAGGTGAGGAGTGATGCTTGTTTGGGACCTCCTAGGACTTAGGAAAGAGAAGGCTGTTGGGGCTGCCTTGGATTGAGTACCTGGGATGTCCTGAGCCACCTTCACAGCAGCCTTTTATGTAAAGTAGTGGGGGACAAGTCACTAAACTCTGTAATACAGACCTTATTATATTTCAGTATTAACTTTCCCTTCTGACTTTAGTTCCCTTTCCCCACCTTTTAGTTTCCCCCCATTGCTGGGCTTTTTATAACCTTAGTTGCATTCGATTGTGACTTCAGGTCAAAAGGTGTCCTCCATCCAAGAAGAGAACCCAGTCTGTACAAGGGAAAAGCAAAAGGAAAAGGTAATGGGTTTTCTAAAATTAAATGTGTACACTTTTGGTTTTATTGGAGAACCATATATGTCATGACGGAAAGAAGGCGTTCAGGTAGAACTTAAAATCACTGAATCCTTGAGTACCTGCGCTGTAGGGGCCTCTAGCAATGATATAAACCAATACCTTTCTAGTTACTCTGCACATGTTCTCTATCTTTCTCTTTTTTTTTTAAAACATAAACGAGAGTGGCAGCACCTATAGCTCAGTGGTTAGGGTTCCAGCTGCATACACTGAGGCTAGCAGGTTACAACCCAGCCCTGGCCAGCTAAAACAACAAGACAACTGCAACAACAGAAAAAAACAGCCAGGTACTGTGGCGGGCGCCTGTAGTCCCAGCTACTTGGGAGGCTGAGGCAAGAGAAGCACTTAAGCCCAAGAGTTGGAGATTGCTCTGAGCTGTTGACACCACAGCACTCTACTAAGGACCACATAGTGAGGCTCTGTCTCAAAAAAAATACATAAATAAAAACATAAACAAGGAGAATGTGGCTTGGCACCCATAGCTCAGTGGCTAGGACGCTAGCCACGTGCACCAGAGCTGGTGGTTTGAATCCAGCCTGGGCCTGCCAAACTACAATGATAACTACAACCAAAAAATAACCGGACATTGTGGCGGGCGCCTGTAGTCCCAGCTACTTGGGAAGCTGAGGCAAGAGAATCACTTAAGCCCAGGAATTTGAGGTTTCTGTGAGCTGTGATGCCATGGCACTCTACCCAAGGGCAACAGGTTGAGGCGCTGTCTCAAAAAAAAAAAAAAAAAAAAAAAGAATGAGTAAGAACTACATGTTAAGTTTAGTTGCCATGTAGCCCATGTGTAGAGCAACAGTCAGTCACAAAGTGGCTGTCACCTACCTAAAATTAGTTTCTTGGAATCTTCTCTCCTGCTAAATAAAGAATCTCCACGGGGCCAGGCATGGTGGCTCACTGGGAGCCTAGTACTCTGGGATGCTGTGGCAAGAAGATCACTTGAGGTCAAGAGTTCAAGACCAGGGTGGCACCTGTGGCTCAAGGAGTATGGCGCCAGCCCCATATACCAGAGGTGGTGGGTTCAACCCCGGCCCCAGCCAAAAACTGCAACCAAAAAAAAAAAAAAAAGCGTTCAAGGCCAGCCTAAGTAAGAGCTAAATCACCTCTCTACTAAAAATAGAAAAATTAACCAGCGATGGTGGTGCTTCCTTATAGTCCCAGATACTTGGGAGGCTGAGGCAGGAATTTGAGGTTACAGTGTGCTAGCCTGAGGCCATGGAACTCCAGCCTGGGTGACAGAGCAAGACTCTAAGACTCTGTCTCGGGGGAAAAAAAAAATCTCCATGGGCTTCAGTTGATTACTCTGGACTATAAACTAAGGTGGGAGTGGGCAGTTGAGGAAGTGGTGGGGATGCATGTCTGTGAAGGAGTGAATGCCTTTCTCCCTCAGCATTGTAACAGGACTTTAATGAGCTTCTTAGCAGGACAGGAACTCCAGCTGGGGGAGCCTTCATAGTGTTAAGCTTCCTTGCATCTGTTACCATACCTTGATTGAAAGTTGTAGCCTATGGTTTAGTGCTCATAGCACAGTGGTTACAGCGCCAGCCACATGCACAGAGGCTGGCGGATTTGAACCCAGCCTGGGCCAGCTAAAACAACGAGAACTGCAACAAAAAATAGCTGGACATTGTGGTGAGTGCCTGTAGTCCCAGCTACTTGGGAGGCTAAGGCAAGAGAATTGCTTAAGCCCAAGAGTTTGAGGTTGCTGTGAGCTGTAACGGCACAGCTCTCTACTGAGGATGACATAGTGACACTCTGTCTTTAAAAAAAAAAAAAAAAAGAAAGAAAGTTGGATCCTAGAGGCAGACGGCTTGGGTTCAAAGTTCTGGCTCAACTAATTGGGTGTGTGATCTTGGGTGAATTTTTTAAACTCCATATGCTTGAGTTTCTGCATCTGTACACAAGGATGATAACACTTACCTCCTAGGGCTGTTGGGGGTGGGGGGTCACGTGAGCTATGTGTACAGGGCATCCAGAGCAGCGGCTGGCCCAGTTGGTGCTCTCCACATGTACTGCCTCCACTGTGCTTCTGCTGTCCTCGGGCCATATGAAAGGAGCATACCTGATGGCTGTTTCTTACCTATAGGTCAAGCCGTGGTAATATTATAACCCCAGCTATGGGCCGAATGGAGATGTCCTTGGTAAAACCAACTCCAGGCCTGACACCCAGGTTTGATTCAAGGTGAGTATGGAAAGGAGTGCTTGGATTTGGTGGGAGCCCACCATTAAACACTACCCAGAGGAGAGGAGTATCTAAGAAAATACTTCTGAATCCTTGGCCAGGGATACCTTGGAGCCATCTGGGCTTCCAAGTGTTTGCCTCTCTGAGTGTAGGTTCACCTATTTTCAGTGGCAGAATGATTCTTTATCTGATGAGAAGGAGGTGACTATTCTGCCTATGATGACTAAGAAATCTTCATGGAACTTTTTTTGCCTTTTCTGATTCAGATCCGGAGTTTTTAAAAGATGGGTAAGTAGGCTGGGTGCAGTGGCTCACACCTATAATCCCAGCACTCTGAGATGTCAAGGTGGGTGGATTGCTTGAGCTCAGGAATTTGAGACTAGCCTAAGCAAGAGTGAGACCCCTGTCTCTATTAAAAATAGAAAAACTAGCTGTGAATACAGGTGGCAGGGACCTATATTCACAGCTACTCCAGAGGCTGAGGCAAGAGGATCTCTTAAACCCAAGAGTGAGGTTGCTCTGAGCTAGGATGCCCTCTACCCAGAGTGACAGAATGAGACTCTGTCTCAAAAAAGAAAAAAAAAAAAAGATGGGTAGGTAATCTCCTTGGTAGGAGTGAAAATTGATACTGGCTTTTTGGAGGTCAACATAAGTAAGGACATTCTTGCAGCATCAATTACTACCTTCCAAGGGGGCTAGCTAAGTAAACAGAAAGTGCTGTATAGCCATTAAAAGAGACTGGATCAGGCGGTAGGGTACTGGCCCAGGAGTAGGGTACTGGCCCCATATACCAGAGGTAGTGGGTTCAAACCCAGGCCTGGCCAAAAAAAAAAGAGAGAGAGAGAGAGAGACTGGTTCTGGCTTAATACAGTGGCTCACACCTATAGTCCCAGCACTTTGGGAGGTTGAGGTAGGAGGATCGTTTGAGGCCAGGAGTTCAAGACCAGGTTGAGTGAGACACCATCCACCCACCCATACCACCACCCCTGCCCCCGTCTCTACAGAAAATAGAGAAAATTAGCTAGGCATGATAGCGTGGGCCTACAGTCCTAGCTACTCAGGAGGATCACTTGAGCTCAGGAGCTTAAGGTTGCAGTGAGCTTTGGGGGTCCCAAATTCACCTATAAATAGTTGCCATCCATGGGGAAATGGAAAATTATAGCTAAATATACCTTTATTTACAAAATATCTATAAAATATTGTCTGTGTTGGCCACCTCTTTGTAAAATTTTATAATAAATATTTTGTAAGTAGAGGCACATTAGCTACAATTTCCCATTTTCCCTATGGATGGCAACTTTAAGGGTGACCTTTGGCACACCCTGGCATTCTAGCCAGAGCAAGAGAGGGAGGCCTGTCTCAAAATAAAAAAAAGAGAGGGAGAGAGAGAGACTGAATCTGTATGTGCTGATTCATGGTCATGAAGAGCTTCAGGATCACCGAACATGGAACATCTCCAAGCAAGTTGCTGAACACCATGTGCTATATGATCCTAGTTACTTTTATATATGTGAGAAGTTTCTGGAAGGATAGATAAAGGAATTCAGAGTTGTTACCCCTGAGGAGTGGAACAAGAAGTGGTTATCTCTGGTGTAGGAAGAGTGTATTCATTTTCTACTTTCAATTCCCACTTTTCTTTACTGTTTTTCATATATGTAACAAGACATTTTAGGGAAAACTAGGCAGCAGCATTTTAACTACATTGAGAAAGTTAGTTTGGGGATTAGTATAATGATGTCATCTCTGAATCACCCACTTTACACTTAAAAAATTCCCCTTGATGGAAGCAGCCACTCCTGGAAACACATTAACTAGTTGATTTCTAGCTTTGTGTGTGGATGGTTGATGACTGTACCCATACAGAGCTTTGGACCTTAAATGTACACAAATCAGAGCTGACTTTTCTGAGATATATGTTTGATAATTACAGCTTTCTCCAGCTATAGCTGTGTTTAGGAATTACTGCTTTAAAAGAATTTTTTTTTTCTAAATTTAGAACTTGCCTTCTTAGAAATATGTGATTTGAAAACTGCAGCTTGAGGCCTTATGGGGCTTAGAAGGGCTCATAATCTGCCAAGCCATCTTCATGGAAATTTTTCCACTCTACAGGGTGTTCAAGACCCCTGGCCTGCGGACTCCAGCCGTAGGAGAGCGGATTTACAATATCTCCGGGAATGGCAGCCCTCTTGCTGACAGCAAAGAGATCTTCCTCACTGTGCCGGTCGGGGGCGGAGAGGTAGGTGAAGTATTTCCAGGGAAGTCAGGACACAGTGTGCTGCTTAGTCCAGCATGTCTCTTCCCTGGGCCGTCACCTCCTTTCCCAAATCCTTCGGTTGCCTGGGTCCTGATCTTCTCACAACTCGGGACCCCAGTTTTTTCCCCCAGGTTAGAGGGGAAAAAAACTCTTGAAGCATCTTGCAGCAGGCTCAAGATGTAGAGGGCATGATTCCTGCCCTTGAGAGCAGCTCAGTAGTTGAGATGGGTCTGAAATCATAGTATCTGTGATCAGTACAATAGTAGAGATATTAAAGGGAGTGCAGAGGAATGCACTGTTGGGGAATGCGTTTAGTCTAGAACTATGCCTTAACTTTGTATGACTTCGAGGGATTCTGAAGCAGCCTGAGCTCAGTTCCTGTAGGCTGTGTAGAGCAAGTTACTGACTTCAGCCCCTGTGAGCACAGAAGGGTTTGTCTCAGATATGGTCTGCACAAAGATAATGTGCAGGCCTTTGTGCCAGGTGATTCAGCCACCAGCCCAGGGATAGCACTGATTATGTCTCCTTGGAGCTAACACCCCTCCTGCCTGCCTTGCCCACGTCTCCTTCCCAGCCATTCCCCACCACCAATTGCAGGATATCGGGGCAACCCCTTGGGCACACTGGGCTGCTGGATGGGGGTTCCTGCTCTAAGGTACATGCCAGTTTAACCCATTCTCCTCTCCATACAGAGCATGCGATTACTGGCCAGTGACTTGCAGAGGTTCGATATTGCACAACTGGATCCAGAGGCCTTGGGGTCCATCAAGAAGCTCTCCGTAAGTCTCATACTCTCTTCCACCATTGATGTTGCGTTTTGGTCAATCCCAGGGCATCTGCCCCAGAAGTTCTTCAACAGAATCAAAATTCTGCCTCATTTAGGTAGTTAGTGTGAGGATATGTTAACTATTTAGTCAATAACTATTGACTGCCAGGAACTGAAACTCCTGTAATCTGCGCCACCAGCAGAGAACTCCTTGGTCCAGTCAGCCGTGGTCTTGACTGGTGGATGGGTTACTTTGTGCAGTGAGGCTGCACTAGGGCTTCCTGCTGTGGGGGTGTGTGAAGGATATGTCCTAGGGAGGGAATAAGGCAGAGCTGGTTTCCCCGGCACCTCCTACTGAACGTAGGCCTGGTGCGAAGATCCCACACATCTAGCCACACAGGTCTTGCGACAGTCATCCTCTAGCTGGACGTGTAGCATTGCTGTTCCCAAATTATGTGATAACTTCACTGTCCTATTTGAGACATTATTTTACTCCTTTGTTCAGATGAGAAACTGAGGTTCAAAAAGTTAGTGTGTGATACAGATGGGGCTGACCTGTGCTCAGGCAGACCGTGAGTGGTTCACTGGGCAAGCATCCAAGTTCCCTCTTCTCTAAGTGACCTCTCTCGTTTTCATTTTAGAGCCGTCTTGCCCAAATGTGCAACAGCATACGGACCCACAAGTGAGAAGCCAAACTTGACCAGATGGACTTTGAATGGGCACTTCTGGGACCCTGAAGAGAATTCTTCCCTTCGGGCTTATCGTTTGTGTGTGAAGTTCCAAAATAGGGAGGAGGCTCCTCTGGGGGGATTCAGGAAGGGGGAAACACACATGAAATCCCACATCTGGTAGATAAAGCTTTGCTGTTCAGCCCCCCAACCCAGGTGACCCCAGGCGCTGCTTGCTGTGTCCATGCAATGGGAACTTCCATTCTCCCAGCTGAATTCTCCCTGCTCTCTGAGCTGCTTTCTTTCGCCTCCTGTAACTCCGCGTCCATTTGCCCTGCCCTACCTGCAATGGAAGTGGTATGAAAGAACCCATGTTCTCAGGAAGACCACCTACCCACCCTCTGCATCTAGTATTTCTGTTCCTCGTATGCTTATGCCTGGAGTTTTACGCTCAGAGAAGTGAGGGCTCTGGGCCAGGAGAGGGCAGGTCCAGGAAGTGGGGGTGGGGACACTATGCAGAGTGGAGCAGGACAGGTCTGAACAGGGACCTCAGCAGCAGAACACACGTGTCTCCTCCCACACCCATTCCTTTACCTCCTTCTCCTTCTGTCAAGGGTGTTAAATGGGCTTTGTGGTATTTCACCTACTGTGTCTATTTCTGTCCAAGATGACTTGTTACACGGTGTTTGTTTTTCCCTATTTACTGAAGACCAAAAATTGGTTTGGAAACAGTATCCATGTCTTGCTTCTCTACCTCCCTAGTTAGTGGGAATTTGGATAAAGGAATGTAGGGCTTAGATTCCAGGGGTTTTAAGTGATTACCTCCAGAGTAATCACCTCTAAGCTACTCCATGGTCCCTGCATGTCTACAGATTCCACAAAGAGCTCTTCTCTCTTATGGGGTTCATGCCTGGGGGCAGGGAGGACTTCTCTGGGGGCCTCATTCACTAAACTGTCCCGTGTTTAACATGGACTCGTTATAAGGAGTCAGCAGTAAGATGCCTCTGCTCCAGGCTTGAGGGCACATGGTTTTCTCATGTCTGGCTCTTTGCTATATTTGGTATTGTTTTACGATGAGACCATTCTAGGAACTCAGTCCAGTGAATTTGAGTTGTTTTAGTCTTTCTGTGAGATATTTGTACATATTGTTTATCTGAGTAATGGTATCTCTAAGCTGATTTGTCCTAATCAGAGCTACTGAAAGGTAGCTACATTCAATAAAGTCTGGTTTTGTGTTTTCTTTTATAATCAGTATTCACTCTGCCAGTCCCATCCAAGCTGTGCTCCATGGACTCTGGGAGATTGTGGAGCTGAAGTGACTGGGCAAGGATCTTTGGATGGCCACTTTCCTCTGAAGATATGAAAATCTAACTTCAGGCAGAATCTCTCTGATACCTAAAAGGGGGCCATCACCCCAAGATCCGGGGTAACCTCAACCCCCAACAGGTTTCCCCCAGCACCTTTGTTCCATGAGTTAGAAATTTACATCTGTAAGGACAAAATTTACTGTCTCTCTAGTTGCCCTGTATGGTAACCTCCCATTGGCCAGCAATAAAGCAGGAACAAGGGTAATTCAGGGATCCTACTTCTCATTTCCCAAAGTTCCTGGGGCCCTGGTACTGCCTTCCTAAAACTTTTTTTTTTTTTATAGAGACAGAGTCTTTGTTGCCCTCAGTAGAGTGCCATGGTGTCACACAGCTCACAGCAACCTCCAGCTCCTGGGCTTAGACTCTTTTCTTGCCTCAGCCTCCTTAGTAGCTGGGACTACAGGCACCTACCACAACGCCCAGCTATTTTTTTGCTGCAGCTTGGCAGGGGCCAGGTTTTAACCCACCACCCGTGGTATATGGGGCTGGCGCCCTACCCACTAAGCCAGAGGCAGCACCCGCTAAAACTATGCTGAAAATGATCGACAAGCAATCTGGTGTCACACTTAGCAGGTTATTAGGCACTGAGAGTTTATGGAGGAGCCCTTTGGTGGTAATAGCATTTGGAAAGAAGGTTACTCATTGCAAGTAACTTGTGACCCAATTTCCAAATCTACAAACCTTTTCTTTGATTATCTAGTGTGCTAAGAGCCTGCCATCAAGGCTTTGTCCAGAGCCACGCTCACCATTTTTCACTGCCTGAATGAACCTAGTTGTAGGAAATGCATGGTATACAGCAAGTGCCTAGATAATGCCTGGGACTGGGATAGGGCAGTCCTTTGGGCCATATCAGGGGCTGGCTTGGAAGGTAGAGTTCCCTGTTCCAGGATTTTTAAGCACAGGTTGAATTGGCACAGGGCTGGGACAAAGAAAATGTAAATCTACTGCCAGCCCACAGGAAATACTTCACCCTCACTGTTTGGGTCGGTGTGGGTTTCTTTTTCTTTTTTTCAAACTGGCTAAATTGTTATCTTCACAATTTAAAAATTGGGAGATTGAGGCCAAGCTGTGGTGACTAATACCTATGATCCTAGCACACTAGGACGCTGAGTGGGGGTGGATTACCTGAGCTTGGGAATTTGAGACCAGGCTGAGCAAGAGCGAGACCCCATCTCTAAAAAATAGGCCTTGTGGTGGGCACCTGTTGTCCCAGCAACTTAGGAGGCTGAGGCAAGAGGATCACTTGAGCCCAGGTTTGAGATTGCTGTGAGCTATGATGCTACAGCACTCTACCCAGGGCAACAAAGTGAGACTTTGGAAAAATTGGGAGATTGCACAGATTGTTAGTGTGTGCGCATGTGTGTGACAGAGAAAGGACATCACCTAAGCATCATTTTTTTCAAAGTGTCACAAATGCTTTTTACCCCCCAAGGAATTAGTATCCCCATCTCCACAGTGATAGAGTTCACAAACCAATGCATGGATACCTCAATGTCCCACCACCACCAAAAACCAGAGTCTGTCTCAGTGTCAACATGTGTATACACTGAAGTCTTGTCTTTTCTTAATTTTGCACATGTGATAGTTGAACCATCCCTAAAATTCGGCATGACCCGTGCACTCAAGATTTCTGTAGTTACTAATTCATGTGGCTTTAGAAATGGGAGGACTGAGGCAATATTGAAAGATGATTAGACCAGAATTAGGGGATAGACTGAGTTACCAACTTAATGAGTTTGGAGTCTAATTTGCTTTGGCTAAGGTGCATCTCCCTATATAGGATTAGGCATGTTCTCAGCCCTCTGTCATCCTTGCCTGCATCACCTCACTTACCAAACAAGCTGCCTTCTGCCCACCCCTTCCCTGCAAGCTGTAACAGGTGCTAAAGCTCCATTAGCTCACACCTGTGCTCCAAGGTCTAGACCCAGATATCCACCTGCCTCCTAGACATCTCTGCTCACACATCCCACAAGCATCTCAAATGCATATCTAAAACTGAGCATGTTGGCCAGGCACTGTGGCTCACACCTGTAATCCTAGCACTCTGGGAGGCTGAGGCAGGTGGACTGCTTGAGCTCATGAGTTCAAGACCAGCCTGAGCAAGAGTAAGACCTGGTCTCTACTAAAAACAGAAAAACTGAGGCAAGAGGATCACTTGACCCCGAGTTGGAAGTTGCTGTGAGCTATGACGTCACAGCACTCTACCCAAGGTGACAGCTTGAGACTCTGTCTCAAAAATAAATAAATAAATAAAACTGAGCATGTCATTTCCTGCCCTCCCCCCATCCAGATACTGTCTACCTCAGGGAAGGCTACTGTCTCCCCCAGGGTACCTGCTTTCGTGTACTGCTCCCAATACTGGGTGACATACTTCTGTACCCTCCCAGGGCACCTAAGCATTTGCTAGGGCACCCCTGATCATACTGTCCCATGTCCTGGGACATCTTTCATTTTATTTATTTATTTATTTGAGACAGAGCCTCAAGCTGTCGCCCTGAGTAGTGTGCCATGGCATCACAGCTCACAACCTCCAACTCCTGGGCTTAAGTGATTCTCTTCCCTCAGCCTTCCAAGTAGCTGGGACTACAGGCACCAGCCACAACGCCTGGCTATTTTTTGGTTGTAGTTGTCATTGTTGTCTTGCGGGCCCGGGCTGGATTTGAACCTACCAGCTCTGGTGTATGTGGCTGGTGCCTTAGCCACTTGAGCCACAGCGAGCCATGGGACATCTTTCATGGCAGAAACTGGCCCATCTATGCAGAAAGATCTCAGACATATGCTGTGGACACTCCACCCCAGGAAGGGGAGGCAAGAACCCTCCCATACAAGCTAGATAGTAGTTAAGCAACTATCATTCCAACAGGCACCATATCACAGACAAGTTTTTATTTCTGTGTCCTGCATAAGAACCCAAGAAATATAAAAACATCTCCAGAAGTAGTCAAAGGGAACCCCTCTCCTACTGGCCCCCTCCCTCCCTGGATGGGCTTAGACCTGGATGATGGGGGGTTGCAGGCCACCTCTGTCTGTCCCATGAACAAGTTCCATATAAAAATAGATTTGTGGAAGGCCCTCAGAGAGCCATTGCCCCACATCACACCAGCGCCTGTGCGAGGCTGAGGCCTGGGACCCATCAGGGTTGTGGGACCTCACTCCTCAGTGGAGGGAAGATCTACCCTGGACACCGAAGTCCTGCCAACACAGCCAGGGCCCCTCTGCAGAACAGGTGGGGCAGGGGAGGCGACTTGTCCTTAAGAGAATGACTGATGTTGCTGGAGATGGGGATGAAGCTCTGTCCAACCAAGAAGAGACAATAGTCCCCATGTCCCTAGATGTGGAGAATGCAGAGCCTGGGGAGCACCTGGCAGGGGGTTCCTCAAACCCTGTTAAAGATGGTTGTAATATCTTGGTTTCCCCCCAGCACCGTCAAAGTCACTGAGCTGGGACAGGTGCTCAGGAGAGGAGGCAGCAGGGCTGAGAGAGATTCTAAGGAGGGAGGAGCTGCTGCTGGCAGATGAGGCCAAAGGCACTGCCGGGGGTCACCACCCCCCACCACCTGGTGCTCTGCAAGATGTGCTGTACATTTCAGCCTCTGGGCCCTTTCCTTTCCCTCTGTTCAGATTCCTCGTCCTAGACCTGCCATTTCAGCGGCTGAAAACTCCACTCATTCTAAGCAAAACAACTTAGAATCCCTCCCAACTGCAAGCCCTTCCTCAACTCACACCTCAGCTGAGAAGCCTTTCTGGACACCCCTCACTATATAGACGTCAGGACTGTCCACCTGCTCTTACGACCCCCAAGGGCTCCTGGGAGTGGGAGGAGCTGGGCACTGGGGCTGCGGGGGAATTACTCCTTGGTATCAGAGCTCATCTCCCCATCTAGTCCGAGCCCTTCAAGGGCAGACTGTGTGCCTCATTCACCTCTTTCCTCCACTCTTCATCTCCCGCTTCCCACCCCAGCCAAACACACAGCCAAGCAGAGCAGGCACATAGCAGGGGCCTGCACTAATGCAGCCCCTATGGCCTCATCCAGATCCAAAGTTCCTGCAAAGGCCCTGTCTTCCTCATCACTTTCTGGGGCCCTGTAGATAAGGAACTCTGGAGTCAGCTCAGCTCAACCACTTCTGCTGGTGCTTGGGAGAAGCCAGAGGGAGGAGACCTCCACGGGAGGCTGGGTGGTACCCAAGGAGCAGGGCTTGTGGGAGATTCACCCCTAAAGGACCCCCTGGGCTGCACAGGGAAGAATGCTGTTGCCACAGGGCAAGACCAAGGACTCTCCAGAGCCAGCCTCATCCCTGGACTGGGTTCTGATCACAGCTCTGGTCCTGACTCCCCTCTGCGCACTGGGAGTTAGAGCAGCCTTTAGAGAAAACCCACCTCTGAATACCCGCTTCTTCATCCCCCAAGGCCAGAGAGCAAAGCTCTTGGGTCCCTTTGGAGAAGACATCCTTTCATGCTCTTCCCAGATGTCCCAACACTGAGTTCATAAAAGGAATGCAAATGGGGACCTCGTGGGCCCCAGAGAGCACCAGAGCCTTGCCTGTCCTGGCCAGGACTCTCGGCCTCACCCTGAACTTCAGCCAAGGCAAGGGGAAGCAGAAATCGGGTCCTGAATCTAGGCCCTTGGGGTCCAGCCCCTGAGCTTGGCACCACCTATGCCTGCCTGGGTCCTAACCAGGGTCCAGCAGGCCCCCACCAAGGCACAGGGGCCAAGAACCTGCCTCTCCAGCCCAGCCTCCCAAGCATGGACTGCTGAGCAGGTATGGTCACTGCTGGGTCCAACAAGAGCCCTTCAGGGGCCTACACTCTTTTGACTGGCCAATGGGTATGTGGGAAAAGGGACACCCACTGGGGAGCCCCAGCCCGTGGATATGGAAGGCAGAAGGGCATGAGCCAGGGCAAGTTAAATCTCTTGTCTCCCCTCTCCATCCCTGCCCCAGCTCTCCAGCTCTGGCTCTGAGACTCTCCCCAGGAGTTTGATCCTCTTTTCCAGGGGCGCAGTCAGGAGAGGTTTTCAGACTGGGGAAAACAGGAGGAGCAGGCAGTGAGCAGGTGGCTGTGGCCCCAAACCAACTCTGGACTCAAGAGAAGGAAGAGCACTCACTCCCACACTGGGGGAGTGCAGCTTGCCAGGGTCCTCCAGTAGGGCTGGGGGCCTGAACCCCCATGGGAAGAAAGGGGGCCTGCTCACACCTGCACCCCCTGGCCTTGCAGCTGAAGCACTCGTGCCTGCAGGGCGCTGATCCCACTAAGGAGGGATTCTCTGTGTTCCAACGAAGAGATGCCCAGGTTCACCAGGTCCCTGCAACAAGGGCAGGTCACACACCAGTGGCTTAGCCCCATAACTTGCTTCTCCCATGAGAAGGCACCCTCTACTCTCCCTCCTCTTCTCTGGCCAAGGAAGGGCCCAGAATCAGGACAGGCTGGGGCTTCCCATGTAGACAGGGGCAGGCCCCTGGCATTCCCAAGCCCCAGGCCTTGACCTTGACTCCTTGGACTCACTGAGCAGTCATCTCGGCCACGGCCTCCAGGCTCCTGTAGCCAGCAGCAGTGAAGCTGTCCTTGTAGCGGCATAAGTCCAGGGCCTCTAGCCACTCACCCACAGAGCCAAAGGAGGGGAAGGTGGAGAAGGCACGGTCCGCCAGGGGGGTGGGAGGCCTGGGGAGCAGAGTAGCTGTGGTCAAACAGCGGCAGGCATCTGGGGTCAGGACCTGCTACTCTCCTGAGGAAAAGCCAGCTGAGGAAGGACAGGAGAGGGAGGGCAGCTAAGCCCCACGGCTAGGCCTGGCTCCTACGGGTACCACACATTACCAGAAGGGGTGAGGGTTTCAGATACTCTGGCAGGTGGAGACCAGAATCAATTGCAGGTACTAGGAATATCTGGGACAGTCTGGGGACAGGACATACTTAGGTCACGTTGGGAGGTGACCCAAATCTGGAGTAACTGATATTAATTTCACTTATTTAATTGACTGGAACTATAAATTTGTTAGGACTATTACCCAATATGTTCATCCAGTCAGTGGTCACTATATTCAGAATATGAGGAGCAGGACAAGTTGAAGTGACTAAGAAGAAAGTGAGGTGAGACGTGCCTGAGGCAGGTGAAAATGTTAGACCCACCTGGGGCAGCTCGGGGAGAAGCAGGGGTGTCAGATTTGGGACAGAGGGAGACACGGGTGGGAAGCTGGCTGATCTGATACGGCTGGGCTAGATGGGAACATACCTGGGGCAGGTGGCTGTGGCACACTTCGGGGGTTCTGGGTCCTGCACCATCTTGCTCAGGATGCTGTGGATGTGGGAGAACCTGGGCCGCTCACCTGGGTCCTTCTGCCAGCAGTCAAGCATTAGTTGGTGCAAGGTAGGGGGACAGCTCCTGGGGGGTGGCAGACGGAAGCCATCCTCCACAGCCTTGATCACCTGGACCGTGGGGGTGGGGAGCAGATGGAGGCTTTGGGTTCCCCGAGACACACGCCCCCCATCCCAAGAAGGATCCAGGCAGTGGCTGGGCAGGACTACAGGCAAGTGGATAGAAAATAAGAGGGGCAGGGCGGTGCCTGTGGCTCAAAGAAGTAGGGCACCAGCCCAAAGTGCTGGAGATGGTGGGTTCAAACCCAGCCCAGGCCAAAAACTGGAAAAAAAAGAAAATAAGAGGGGCAGAGCTAGGAGGTCAAGGGTCAGTGGGCAGAGGGACAGAAGTCAGAAAGCTGAGGTCAGAGGTCAGAGGCAAGAGGGTCAGAAGGCAAAGAGCTGGAACACAGGTCACTCACGTCTTGCCCAGACATGTCCCAGTAGGGCCGCTCCCCAAAGGCCATCACCTCCCACATGAGGATGCCAAAGCTCCACACGTCACTGGCAGAGCTGAAGTGGCCAAACTGCAGCGTCTCAGGGGCGGCCCACAGTGCTGGGCTCCGGCCGCTCTGTGGGTGGGCAGGCAGGGCAGGGCAGGGAGGCTCACGTAGGTTTCCCCATCACTTCAAGCCCCAGATGCAGACCCACCTGTCATGCCCCCAGGCGACCCCCACTCCCAGCTTCACCTCTGGGGAAGGCACATAGCTGACCATGAGGTGATATCCATCCCAACATCCATTCAAAACCAACCGAGTGGAGGGGGAGGGTAGGAAGTGACCCTGACACAGCAGGGAAGGGAGTGGAAGTGGGGATATGGGGGTTCCAGATGGGAGACAGGAAGAGCAGGCAGGCTTGGCTGGGTTGGCCCTCACCATGGTGGTGTACACAGCCTCTGCCCGGTCCCGGGGGCCCCGCCCAAAGCCAGAGATCTTGCAGATGAGGCCACTGCTAACCAGCACACGGCGAGCCGCCAGGCCCCGGTGAACGTAACCCATCTCCGACAGATACTTCATGGCTGACGCCAGCCCGGGCAGCAATCCCACCAGCTGCCCAGCAACCAGCTGCCCCTCGTGCCGCTGTGGAGGGAGGAGACTGAGGGCCGGGGCCATGTACTTGGATCCCCTGGGGCTATGTGACACAAGGGAAGCCACCTAGCCCTCTCTGGGCTCCAGTTTACTCTGTGACCACCGGTCAGCCTAGCCAGTAGGGACAATGTCAAATCTAAGCCTCACCAAAGAGAAAAGTGAGGGACCTATTTTATAGAACAACATGGTTGGTAGCCCCGGGGCCCAGGGCCACTCACCCTGAGGAAGCCATCCAGGGCCCCCAGGCTCATGTACTCGGTGATGATCATCAAGGGGCTTCCTGTGACCAGGGATGGAGAACACACACTAGATAAGCAGTCTGCTCCACCCTGTGTGTGTGCATGTCCCCCACAGGGCCCCCAGACTGGGCCTAGAGAGCCAGAAACATGGCCAAGCTTCCTGATCCCTTCTGACCAGTGGAGGATATTTTTCTGACTGGCCCAGGATTCCCTATACCAAGGAATCTAGACAAAGGCCAAGGTCAAGAGGTGCAATGAGTCTACCAAGAAAGGTTTTCCAAGGTCAGAATGATCCACCCACAAGAGTGTCATGACAATTCAGAAGGTCATTCTGGGTAGGAACGTCCACTCCAGGAGAGGGGCCACCCTGAGTCAGTGAGAGCAAGTTAAGACCCCCAGGGTGTGCCTCCCCATGCTAAGGGAAGTAGTCTGGAGCAAGGGACCCTACCTCGGGTGACGACACCCTCCAGCCGCACGATGTGGCTGTGGTCAAACTGGCCCAGCGTAAGGGCTTCAGCCAGGAAGCTGAGCCTCTGGGAGTCATAGGAGCCGTCCCTGAGCGTGTGCACGGCCACAGGGAGTGCCTGGCGGCCAGGCAGCTGCAGGCAGCCGAAGCACAGCTCCCCAAACCGCCCTGTGGGGAAACAGCACTTCAGACACCACTGGAGGCCACCATCCTGTCCAAGCTGGGCAGGCTGAGCAGAGGAGAAAGTTCCTCAACCACTGCCTGTTTCTGGCCTCAGACTCAGGGCTCCTGAGTTCAAATCCTGGTAAACTAAGGACCAGCAGTGTGACTTCAGGCTACATCTGTTTCCATTTCTCTGTCTCAGTTTCCTTCTCTGTGAAACACAGACCCCTTCCTGCTTGCCTCCACAGGAGGTTTCCAGGCCTCAGAGAGAGGGTGCTGCAGTGCCAGTGCGCCAAAGGCCATCCAAGCCAGTACAACCAGGATGGATGACCATAATATCTATTCTGCCACACTTCCTGGCTTCTGTCCAGAAAGTCTGGCAAGAGTGTTGGAATAATGTCAGGTTCCTGGTGAAATGGGCTACTTTCTCTGGGCACAGGGGACTGAGGTTTGTAGGCACAAAGAAAGGCAGGCAGGACACCGACCCATACAGAGCATGCACCAGAACGTACTGGGCACTGTGAAGTCCCCACATCACCCCCCTGTGAAGTAGATATGTCCATTGCACAGACAAGAAACTGAAGCTCCGTGAAGGAAGGGGACACGCCCCTGACTACGCACTGGTCAGTGTAGAGCCAGGACTAGAACTCAGGTATGTCCCAAGCTTGTAAAGGACCCCCCCAGCCTGTGAAAGCCTTGGACCAAACTATCAGTGGCAGTCTGCAGAGGTCAACCCTGACAGGCCGAATGGAGACGTCTAAGTGATGATGAGGACCGGGAGAAGGTAGGAAGTCAGAGCCACAGACCCTTCTGCCTCCCTCTTCCCTGAAATTTTGCGGGCCACGGATTTCCTGGGTGAAGTTAGCCTTGGTGTGGAGGCGGGGCTTCCAGAAGTAGGCGGAGATTTGGTGAAGGTGGGGCTTCTAGAAGTGGGCGGGGATTCAGTGGAGGTGGGGCTTCTAGGAATGGTCAGGGATTTGGATGGAGATGCGGCTTTCAGTAATAGGCCAGGATTCGGGTGGAGATAGGCTTCCAGGAATGGGAGGGGGGTGAGGGTAAATTTCCAAGAATTGGGCGGGGACACACACACACACATACATATATATATATGTATATATATATATATGTGGTATTTGAGTGGAGGCGGGGCTTCCAAGAATGAGTAGGGATTTAAGGGGAGGTGGGGCTTCCAAGGTGGAAGTTGAGACAGGCCAGGTGCGGGGAGGCTTATAAAATTGAGAGGGGGACTGGCAGGGTAGGGCTTTTTTCACCCCTTGCTTGCCTGCTCCCAGGCTCCTCTCCAGGATGACACTTTTAGAATCCAGCTCCTTGGCGAACAGATGGACAGCCTGCAGCGGGTCCCCACAGGTCTGGGGGTCCAGGAATGTGCGCCGTGTTGGGACTTTGACTGGGAGAGAAAGAGATGTGCTGAGGAAGAGGACCCTCCATCGCCGAGGTGGGACAGGGGTGACTTACGTGCGTAGTGGGAGGGGGAAGAGAGCTGTGGAGTGGAATAGGGTGGAGACCACCCCTCCTCAGCCAGCCTAGACAACTCACAGTGGAAGTACAGCTCCTCTTCATCACAGGCGTCTCCACCTCCTTTGCCATAGCTG